GGTAACTGTTCAGTGATTTGTAGACATACATGAGTATTTTGAACTGGATTCTAAGGTGAACTGGTAACCAGTGCAGTGAGGCCAAAACTGGTGTAATGTGCTCTCTTTGGCCTGTACTGGTTAAAAATCAGGCTGCTGCATTCTGGACCAGTTGTAGTCGTGCAATGGAGGTCTGACTGATACCAAACAGGAGCAAATTGCAGTAATCAAGCCTAGATGTAATGAATGCATGTATTACTGTCTCCAGGTTATTTTTGAACAATATGGGCTTCAGTTTAGGCAGCCGCCTCAGTTGGAAGAAGCATGATTTAACAATCATGTTTACATGATTGTTAAGCTTCAGGGAAGGGTCCATTAGATTAGTGACTCTTTGTTTTTCTGACAGGGTTAGAGCAGAAAGGTCGATACAGTGATTTGTGATTGTGTCGTTGGGAGGGAACAACATGACTTCAGACTTCTTTTCATTGAAACTCAAGAAATTTAAAGCCATCCAGTCCCTGATGTCAGCCAGGCAGTTGAGCAGCGGTTGAATAGAGCATGTACCATTAGTGTCTTAGGGGAAGTAAATTTGACAGTCATCGGCATAGAAGTGGAAGGGCATGTTGTGTTTCCGGAAAATGGCACCAAGCGGCAGCAGGTATAAAGAGAATAGGAGGGGACCCAGGATGGACCCCTGCGGAACCCCCCATTTAAGCTCTGCCTCTGCGGAACTAAAATCCTTGATGGAGACACAAAAGGATCTGTCAGTGAGGTAAGATCTGAACCAATTGAGGGCTGATCCTGTGACGCCCACCCACTGCTCCAACCTAGCAATGAGGATCTCATGGTCGATGGTGTCAAAGGTGGCTGTGAGGTCCAACACGACAAGCAGCACAGAATCACTGGTATCTGTGAATCTGAAGATGTAGTTAAAGACCTTCAGCAGGGCAGTTTCAGTGCTGTGGAGAGGTTTAAAGCCAGATTGGAAAAGCTTTAAGATGGCGTGATCCTCCAGGAAGCACTTCAACTGGGACTCGACTATTTTCTCTAGTACTTTAGAAACAAATGGGAGTTTGGAGACAGGCCGGAAGTTGGAAACGACTGAGGGGTTAAGGTTTGTTTTTTTCAGGAGAGGCTGGACGGCAGCATGTTTAAAGGATTTTGGCACCACGCCAGTGGATAAACTACTGTTTACTATAGCAAGAATGGACGGACCTAGAGTTGGAAAAACCTCCTTTAGTAGTCAAGGGGGGGACCACATCAAAGGGGGAACCAGAAGGTTTCAAGTTGCACATGACCTGCTCTAGAGAAGATAGAGTGATGGGTTCAAAATGGTCAAAAGGAGCTACAGATTGAGGTGGGATGGATGGGTCATGAGTTGAAGGGGAAATGAGAGCCAGTTTGTTGAGTGAATATCTGAAGCACGAAGACCACGGGATACGTGATCAGCTGGGTTCTCTGAGGTGTCCACATAATGCCACTGACTGGGATTGCTGTTATCTCTAATTAGTTGAACACGGTTTGCAACAAATACGTGGAATCTACGGGCATCATTATTGATGTACCCTAGCACAACTTGTGAGGCTGTCCAGAAAAACTCTTGATCAATTTTCATGTCAAGTTCACCCTTTAGCATGACACTATTCTTTGTAGAAATCACTGCTGCTGTAAGTTCCAGTCTTGGAATACTCTTGACTTTTGATGGTGCAACTCTTGCCTTTGCCATCACGAGACTGCAGTGGACTTCGTTCTTATCATTAGTGTACTTGAGGTAAGAACATGCACCATATCCCACACTGCTGGTATCTGAAAAATGGTGTAGTTCTACTCTGATAATTTTATGGAAGTCATGTGGATGGTAACATCTTGGGATGGAAACTTCTTTCAACTTGTGAAGACCACTTATCCACTCCTCCCACCGTTGCTTTATTTCTTCTGGGAGGGTGTCATCCCATCCAATACCTCTCTGGCACAGCTCTTGAAGAATACGTTTTCCACTCAGGCTGAATGGAGCGATGAATCCTAGCGGGTCATAAAGAGAGGTGATGACAGACAGGTAACCATGACGGTTTGAAGATTGGTCTTTCACGCTGATGTTAAAGCTAAAGGTGTCATTTTTGACTGACCACTGAACACCGAGTGCTCTCTCTGATGGGTTTGGATCCAAACCTAGAGGTTGCATGGCCGTGGCTCTTTCTGAGGGGTTTAGTCCATTGAGGGCTGCGTCTTCATTTGAGTTGAATTTGCAAAGACGTAGGCCTCCTTTTTTACACAACTCTTGAGACTCAGTGATCAATTTCCTAGCATCTTCAACTGATGGGACACTTACTAACCCATCATCAACATAAAAGTTTTCTCTACAAATGTTGATGCTAATGGATAGTTAGCTTTGTATTGTCGTGCTAGATGTTTCAGGCCAAAGTTGGCGCATCCTGGAGATGAAGCTGCTCCGAAGAGATGAACCGCCATTCTGTACTCCTGTGGTTCCTTTTACAAATCACTATCTTTCCACCAAAGGAACTTCAAATAATTACGGGAGTCTGGAGAGACCGAAAACTGATAAAACATTCTTTCAATATCGCAGATAATTGCCACAGCCTCCTTTCTGAAACGGCAAAGTACTCCCACCAGAGGATTGATTAGATCAGGTCCTGTTAGCAGAGTGTCATTCAGCGAAACACCATGGAATTTGGCTGAACAGTCAAATACGACTCTCAGTTTGTCTGGTTTTCTGTGGTGATAGATGCCGTGATGTGGAAGGTACCACTCTGTCTTTCCTTGAGATGTTGGGGGTGCAAGTTCCGCATCACCCTTGTTTATTGTTTCTTCCATGAATGTTTTGTACTGATCGTAGTAGTGTTTATTTGCCTTTAATTTTTTCTTGAGGCACTGCAGCCGAACTGTGGCTAGTCTTTTGTTGTTCGGTAGTATGGGTGGACTGTTGCCTTTGAATGGGAGAGGCATATCATAATGTCCATCCTCCTTCTGCCTGATGTGGTCATTGAGGAACTGTATAAATTTCACATCATCTTGAGAGACATACTTATCTTCATAAGTTCTCTCAATGAAGTTGGATTCCAGGTCCTTTAGAACATCTGTCGTTGAAGGAATTGGCAGTTCTTTTACTGTGAGTCTATGCACAAAGCTCTGACTTCATTGTCTGTCTAGGTGAGGGTTTGATGAGCCCATTATACTCCATCCTAATTCTGATCTTTGTGCGAATGGTTGATTGATGCCACCTAGAACAACCTCAAGAGGTGCTAGTGCTGACGGACAGTCGTATCCGATTAGAAGCCCTACATCACAATCTTGAAGAAGGGGTAGCTTATCTGCCAAGTGTCTGAGATGGGGCCACCTTAAGGCTGTTTCCTTTGTTTCCATAAGACTTGTCTACCGGGATGAAGTCACGGCTGTAGGCATGCTGTAGTTGGATGCAGTTCTCAGAATGGAGTCCTCGAACTTGTAGACCATGGATGCTCTTACTTGATACGATTGTATCAACGGCTGTCATAGTACTAAGTTTCAGTTTTACTGGTTGGGCATCCACATTCAGTTTATCACGCACATCTTCTAAGATAAATGTCGAGTCACTGTGTGTCTAGTATTGCATATGTAAGTACTTCTCTGTGTGGTTCTTGTACTGAAGACACAAGAACTGGAACAATACTTGAGGTGGCAGATGAACGTTGTGTTGATGTGTGAGATACGACCTTGTGTATTTCCTGACTTACATTTTCTTCTGTAGGGATGGAGTCATTTGATATCACTTTCACCTGTCTTTGTTTCCTATCTTCGTGTAGACGGGTTGGATGACGAAGATTACATGTGCTACATGTATGTCACCGCTTACAATCCTTGGTCATGTGACCTTTTCTCAAACACCCAAAGCAAAGCAGATTTTCATGAATGAATGTTCGTTTATCTTCGACTCTCTTTGCTGTAAAAGTAGGACACCTCGTGATATTATGAGTTTCGCTTTTACAGACGGCGCAAGGTGATTTTGGTTTACTGTTGTATATTTCTTGTTTTTCCTGTGTGAAACTCTTTGGTTGTGTGTTTGTGTTGAAAGCTTTGGCTATCTTTGGTGCTCTTTCATCTGTATGTTTAAAATTCATCATCAGGTGGGAAGTAATAGGGTTACGGGCTATCCGGGCCTCTTTATTCAGGAAATCTGTGAAGCATGCAAAATCTGGAAAGCATCCAGATGTGTCAAGTTGGTCTACTACGATACGACTCCACTTGCGTACAATCCATTCTGGTAGTTTTTTGAGCAACTTGTGGTTTTCTTCACAGTCGCGCAGGATAGCTAATCCTTCAACGTGTGGAATAGCTTCAGTGCAGCTTTGGAGAAAGTCTGCAAATTCTCGTAGTGCTAGTGAGTCATTTGTAGTGATCTTTGGCCATCGTGTGAGCTTATCACGGAAATCTTTTTGGATGATGAATGGGTTTCCATACCTGTCCTGTAAGACTTTCCAGGCTCCAGTGTATGCTCTTTCTGAATCTTGATAGAAGAAACCTTCTACAGCTTTGCGTGCTTCTCCAGCAAGATAATTTTTGAGGTAGAACATCTTCTCACTTAGTGGGATGGGTTTTCTGTCAATGAGAGTCACAAAAGACAACTTCCAGTCTGTAAACTTTAAAGGGTCACCACTGAAAATGGTGGGTTCAGGGACTGGCAAGCGGCTCATACTTAATGAACTAGCTATTGCTTGGGCTAAACGGACAGACTCCTGAGACATTGTGACTTCAGATGATGCATGGTGCGGCAGGAATAATGCAGCATCTGGATTCAGTTGAGCTTTATTTTTATAGTGAATAGCGTTAACTTGATCATGAGTCTCTTCATCATTGATTTCAAAATCCTGATATGCTCTTACACGAGCTGCTGCTACAGCTATGTCCTTATCTGATTGTAACTGTTGCAGTTTTGTTCTTTCTTGCTCAAACTGTTGATGCATTTTAACCTTTTCTTTCATGTCTGACAGCATTTTTGCCTCTTTAAGTTTCCATTCATTTTCTAATTTGTGAAGATGTGCTTGCTGTGCTTGAATTTCTTTCATGGCTTTTGATTGCTCCATTTTAGCAGCGAGCTCTGCTTGTGCATCTACTTTACTGTTGTGAGTACTGGCTGAGCTGGAGTGGTTGCTTACTGTGCTTTCTGCTGGCTCTGATAATCTTATAGTTTCAGTTTTTGTGTGACCCAAGACAGATCCATATTCATCTTTGTTTAATATTTCTCTTACTCTTTCTTTCTCAAGTTGATTATTATAATCTTCGTTAATAGTCTCTAGACGATTGCTTATGAGATTGCATATTTCCTTTGTTAATATAACACAGGCATCCATTTTGTTGACAATCTCAGGTGTGGTATGACTCTTATGTAGAATAGGTTCATACTGTTGTCTCACATCTTCATGTTTAGCCTGAATGTTTAGCTGTAATGCATTGAGCTCTTCCAATGAACAGATGTACTTTAGTTTAGTTCTAGTTTCTCTTGCTGCCAGCTTCCACAAGTCATAGACTTTGTTAAATATTTTCTCTCGTCTTTTAATGTCTTGATCATACATTTCTTGGCCTTTTTCTGTAATTTTTCTCTCACGTGAGCTGGACCTGTGTGGCATGTCTGTAGGGTTGTCTGTTTTTTCTGTTGGGAGTGACATGTTGTTTTATGCAACTGCTTTAAATCAACTATTGCTTTTGAATGTCCTCTACCTAAATCTATACTTATAAGCTGTAGTTGTCCTTCACTACAGAGTAATATTTATGTCAAGCATTTATACAGTAGATTATGAACACTCAAAGGATTTTTGCATAAAACATAACAACAAAGATGTCATAAATAAGCCTTGTAGGCATTGATAGCAATGTTGCTTCACAATTTAAACTCTTTTATAAACAGACAAGTCATCAATTTTTGTGAATTCACAAACATATGCGCTCATCATCTTAGAACTGTTATTTGTGTACAATGATTGTCCCATTTGCTACTACAGTTTGCAATGTTTCTTTATCAATCGTGGCTGTATCATAAACGTGTTGCCTGTTTAATCTTGCCTGTGCAGGATAAAGGTGCAATTGGGATCAGTAGCCTTGCATCAGATTGGCAGCAGGACCTCTGACGAGTTGATTTCTGCTTCTTTGGGATGGGACATCTACTGCAGCGAGTAGTTTTCACTGTAGCGGCCACTTGGATTAATGAGCCAGATGCGGAGAGTTTCAAACGGGTGCCAGTTTATTTCTGTTTCTTGCTTCACATTAACATCATATGCACCGTGCACCGTGAAAACTACAGAACAGAAAATTGCAAAACATCTCTGTAATTTTAAAATAGTTGCCAAGTATGTCATTCACATATTAATTACGTTTTTGACCTTTTAAGTCAATCTAACAAACAAATAACAATAAAGGTAAAATGTAAAACAAAATATGCTTCCTTGAATTAAATTAACATTCACAGAAATAGCATATTGCTTTCTGTTTGATAACATGTGCAGCTTTATCTATAAACAAATGAAATATAAACTTTTTCTCTAAATAAGACATTCTTCTTGTGACTACAAACATACACTTTACATTTTCATACCTCCTTCCACTTTCCAAGTGTGCTAAATTTAACATTGGACATCAACCTCCTTTGCTAGCATGCCCTCTTGTCTAATGCGCACCTCAGCAGGAGCCCACTTGAACAACACGTGCCTAATGAGTACTTATGCTAGGAGAGGAGCGGCAAAAAAACAGGAAACCAAAAAAAACCTAAACAGAGTGATGCTCTTCAAAATAAGAGCGTGACTGACCACAAAATGAAAACTGAATATGAAATCATTACAGTTAGCTGTCCTTTACAATATTGTTAAACACGTTAGTAGTTGTAAACACTCAAAAGAATAAATATGTTTGTTAAGTGTTTACCTTCAAACCTAAATATTTAAGGAGTACATTTTTTTAATAATCATATTAAAAGTTACAAATGTTGTCTTTTGTGCCTGTTTGTTTTCTAAATACAGGCACATTAGTGTTTGTGAATGACAGGCATTAACATAAAACACTTTGTAGAACGGTGTTTTATGAAGTTCGGTCCGTTTCCTTGTTAGATGACTGGCAGTTCTGCCACGTTCAATATGGCGGACGCGCTGATGACCTGTCAGCTCAATGAGGCGTCTACAGCCAAACCCATCTGTTCTCTGGTCAATGCCATGTCAATCACAAATTAAGGGTGCATTCACACCAGCCCTGTTTAGTTTGCTTTAATCGAACTCTAGCTCGTTTTCCTAAAAAGTCAGGTTCGTTTAGGGAGGTGTGAACGCGCCATCGAACTTTGTCACGGCACAAAAAGGCGAATTTTGGCCCGGGCTAAAACCTAGGTCTCGGTCCGGTAGAAGAGAACTCCAGGGTGATTCAAGTACAGTGTGAATGTAAACAGACCAGATCCCGCTCCGCAGGGTAAACAAACACGCATTTCTCACTGCGGTAAAGTGAGCCAACACTCTGCTCCGGCAGCCCTCACTGGCTTAATTGTGCACGTTTACAACATGTGCTACGGTAATGCTGCGGCGACACGCTGTGTGTTGCTTTTCAAAATAAAAGCTGAAAATAAAAGTTCTTAACTGAAAAATATGAAAAATAAAAAAATAAAAGTAGTTATTATCTGGAAAAAAAAGTTGTTCATAGCTGAAAAATAAATAAATAAAAGCTGTTAATTATATCTGTCTTTCAAAATAAATCACCAAAACAAAGTTTAACATGCTTCATTGTAATATTCAAAAGTTGCTGAATTTGTTGCTGGATAACTGCACGATTTCAGGAACCACTCTCACTTCAGGTTGACTCTAGAAGACCCCTAGATGTTGCCCAAAAAGTTTCACCAACATCTGATGTTGACTTTCAAAATAAATCACCTCCAAATTTGAACATAGACTCATGTAACATTCAAAAGTTGCTGACTTGATTGCTGGATAACTGAACGATTTCACGAACCACACTCACTTCAGGTTCACTCTAGAAGACCCCTAGATGTTGCCCAAAAAGTTTGAGCAACATCTGATGTTGACTTTCAAAATAAATCACCTCCAAAGTTGAACATAGTTCATAGTAATAGTCAAAAGTTGCTGACTTTGTTGCTGGATAATTGAACAATTTCAGGAACCACTCTCACTTCTGGTTGACTCTAGAAGACCCCTAGATGTTGCCCAAAAAGTTTGAGCAACATCTGATTTTGACTTTCAAAATAAATCACCTCCAAAGTTGAACATAGTTCATTGTAATATTCAAAAGTTGCAGAGTTGATTGCTGGATAACTGAACGATTTCAGGAACCACTCTCACTTCAGTTTGACTCTAGAAGACCCCTAGATGTTGCCCAAAAAGATTGAGCAACATCTGATGTTGACTTTCAAAATAAATCACCTCAGTAGAAGGGTAGCAAGGCTCACAGCATTCGAGCACTGAACTTGGGTTTCAAGAACACAACAGACAGTTCCAGTTGCTTCCTCTTGCTCGTTCCAGGACTTCTTCACTGAAGCACTGCTCATGCAACCATATCTCACATGAGTCACTCTGGATCTGCAGAATTAGTTAGAAAACTCATTTATTAAAGTTAAAAAGAATGCGTGTTTGTTCCCATTTTACCATGACATTCTCACATTATTTTATCAAGTAATTCATTATCTTTTAGAAAAACATGTGAAACAAATTATTGTCAGTAAATCTCTAAATTTGGAAATTTGCTGTGGAAGGAGTTGAGATTCATCTAAACACATACACTTTAATTGGATGTTGTACCAGGGACCATCAGTACAAACTTTCGTTCCACCTCGTGTACCACGTGATGCGATTGACAATAAAGATACTTGAACCATAAAACCTTATCTACAGCATATCAAATCCACCAGAATCACATTAAATAATTTACATCTGTTGTGATACTACCAAAAAAAAAAAAACATACAACATCAAACAAATGTACCCGACCAGTTTGTAATTGGAGGCCCTGCACCAGCTGGTTTTGCCAAACAACACATGGAGCAGTTGTTGCCCGAATCAAACACTGTAAATCAAGAAAAACAAGTTACACCATAAAATAACAAGTTAACAATTTATCTGAGGAGTAGAAGTAGACTGCTTTGAGTTTAACTCCATCGCAGAATTCTTATTTTGAGCAAGCATGAAGGAAATATTTAATTTACCCTTTATTTATACAGGTAGTCTCATTGACTCACGAGAACTCATTTTCAAGAGAGACCTGTTTTAGGGTGCAGATGGGGGTTAAGGGCCTTGGACACCGTCTCCACTTCAAGATATGTTAAAAGCTACACAAACAGAAAACCTTGGCTGAATGCAGAGGTGAGCACCCTGCTGGAAGCCAAGAACACTGCCTTCAGGTCTGGAAACTCAGAGGAGCTGAGTAGGACAAGAAAAGAGCTGGTTGCTGGTATTAAGAAGGCCAAGGCCACATATGCACAGAGGGCCGAGGGTCAATTCATCTCACAAAACCAATGGAGCATGTGAAGGGGTATTAAGTGCATAACAGATTATAAAGGAAGGAGCGAACAATGCCCCAAAGACCCATCTCTGCCTGATGCCCTCAACAAGTTCTAT